GCGGAGTCCTGCCTAGAGGCACAAAGATGAACTAGATGACCTGTTGAAGCCCCTTAAAGCCCTTTCAGTCTCATGATTTCATAAAACACCAAGCACTCTTTTGTTGGGTTTTCTGGATAGGCAGAGGAATTCAATGTGTGTACTGTTTCCAAACTAGTAGCAGAACTCTTCTCCCTTCCTTATCTCCTCCCTCTCCTCCCACAATCAATCAATAAACATTTATTAAGTGCCCACGATTTATTACGCACTGCACTAAGTGCTGGAATTACTTTGTTTGAAAAATACAATGAAGAGTCAAGGAGAAAATTTAAGCAAAGTGAACTAATGATCAGTGTATCACAGACAGAGATGGAAGGGGACCTTATTGGTCATCTAACCTAACCCTCATTTTATAGCTGAGGAAACTGAGATGTAGGGAGATGAAGTGATGTGTCCAAGATCACAGAAGTAGTAACAGTCAGGATTTGAACCTAGGTCCTTTTGACTGCAGACCTGGCCCACTCTCCACTGTGTCATATTGCCTCCAAACAAAGGACAACAAGGGTCAAATGCAAGAAAATCTAAGATATGAAAGTTGTCTGTAGGGAAAAAGAAGAGTTGTAGAGGTCATAACTGACATGGCATTCCTGTAAAAGTCTGAGTCTATTCCCTTCATGTTTCCTATTTATTTTCCTTTACTGTTGAATAAAAGTCCATAAAACTCCCTAGCCACAACTTCTTTAACACTGTGCCAGTTTTTGGCTGGTTCTACCATACCCACTTCATTTTAATCATCCAAGACACAGGTGAACTAAATTTACTTTCGGATTATAAGAACCAAAGAGATGGCATCCCATGAGATTCAAGAGACAGCCTCTTTCTGTGAAGCCAAATGGGAAGTTTGCCAAAAGCCCTCACAGGCTGAAAATGAATAGTAACAAACATCCACTACTGTTGTGTATGCCAATTAGCATGGCTATTTTAAATTAGGAAATAAGCGATCTTTTGAAAATTCAGTAAAAGAATGGACATACATGTCCATTCCATGTATTACACACATATAATGTATGTCCCCCTTTCTCCACTGAAATCTCCTTTGAGATCCAGCCCACCTGTCATCTGAGTACCAATCTAGTTAAAATTTGGAGAGGATTATTACCGAATGGATTGTAAAGTGATTAATTTTTCAGCCACAGGAACTCTTGAAGATCATTTACTAAGTCAGAGAGTGGATCCATCACTAGAAAGGATATTCACACATGAAAAGATAGACTCTTGAAACATTTCTGTGACACAAGATTGCTCAAGTGATGTACCATACATATGTGAAGAAAGAAAAATATAAAAAAATCACCATACCCAATTCCAAAATTTTCATGATACTAGAACTGAATCTGAATCTAACACTTTCTTGGTTGCTGTGCCATATAATAACCTCTTGTATAATGTTATCATATATCGATTTTAGTAACTGAAATTTTGTTAGTAATAGTGAAAATGAACTGGGGAAAAAAAAAGAAAAAATCAAGGTCAAAAGTCATGCTTTACCAATATGAGAGCATGAGAAACAGTCTCTGCTCTCAGGGAAATTATGAGGGGAAAATGGAACAATATAATTCAGTTGTTGTAGATACAACAAAGTTAAACTGTGTAGTACTAACTATAGGGGCAAAATGTTGTTTTACATGGACTATAGTTGTCAGAGAAAGCTTCATGGAGAAAATGGGACTTGAATCGAAAGACCTGAAATGTTGGAGGGAAAAGTAAAGTCATTCAACACAGGCATACCATAAGTGAAGTTATAAAGAGTAAAGAAACCAGCATGTGAAAATTAAAGATGGTTTAATACCAGAAAAACTGTTTATGTAACTCATCACTCGAGCAAAAGAATAAAAATGGGAAGACTCCAACATTAAGTCATTAGAGAAAGAAAAGGTCTTGACAAAACACAGCTTTCATTAATCTAAAAAAATATATAGGACTAGAAGGATCTTTCTTCAATATGATGAAAAGTATATGTTTCAAACTATGTGTATGTGTGTGTGTGTGTGTGTGTGTGTGTGTGTGTGTGTGTGTGTAAAAGCTGAAAAACATTAAAGGCATTCATCATTTAAAATAAATATAAAAGAGGAATAGCCATGTTCACTGATCCCATTTTTCATAATTTTCTAAATATTAGTAATAGTAATAACAAGTGAAAAGAAAATGAAAGACATAAGCATTGATAACGGAAAAGTTAAAATATCTACTTGGAGGTATGTCCCTAGAAGTAGTAGGACATAAGGAAAAACCATAAAATTATCTTCATTTCTGTTCATTACAATAATCAGTTAGTCAATAAGCACTTATTAAGCCCCTATTATGTGCCAGGCACTCTGCTCAGTGCTGAGGTCACAAAGAAAAGCGAGAGATAATTACATTCTTGAAAACAACAACGGCAATAAAATATAACATATCTGGGCAAATTTTACCATAATACGCAAAAGACCAATGAGCACTATTCAAGGTAACTTCACGGCAATTTAAAAAAAAAAAATCAAAAAATAACTCAAGAAATGAAAGGATATCCCCTGCTAATGGTTAGGTGGGGCAAATACAGTAAAAATACCAACACTGTGCAAATGAATTTGCAGTTTTAATGCCATACCAATGTAAGACCAACAGGCTATTATATAAAATTAGTTAGAGTTATAACAAAATTCATGTGGAAAAGCAGACTGGCAAGAATATCAAGAAATGCCAAGAAAAAAAAATTGGGCAGGGGGACTAACACTCTCAGATTTCAAAATGGACTATAAAGCCGTTGACTAAAAACTGTCTGGTCCTGGAAAAGGAACACAGAAATAGATCAGTGGGAAGAAATAAAGAACCCAGAAATAGAACCAGCTGCATATACCAGGTTAGTGTTTACTAAATCCATGCTTAGAAATCATTAGGAAATGGAATCATTTAAATAAAAACGGGCAGAAAAACAAAACAAAACAAAACAGGATAGCTGTATGGCCAAAAAAAAGGGGCGGGTGGGGGGGGTGGGAATAGAGGAGGGGGAGATCATCTTTTAAGGTTCCTTCCAGCTCTATATCTATGGGCCTATCACCCATATGCCACAACAAACTACCTAAATCCTTAAAAAATGGAAGAAAGAAAAGAAATGAGCTTAAGTGGAACTAAAGCTTGAGACGATAAGGAAACATTAAAATAAGATTGGCTCTAGCCAGGTGCATTATGCAGGTACACCAAAAGTCAAGAAAGGGAGTTGAATCCTGATGTGATAGCAGGACATAGACAAATACAGTCAGGGGTTTGTTGCAATAACATAAGCCTGAGGTGTTAAAGATCTACACAGTCCTGGACATTTCAAAGAATAAAAAAAATTCTGATAGGATAAAGGGGATGAAGGAGAAAAAATGAACGCACCAAGATTTCTAGTGTAGGAGGCTGAGACAATGTGATACATCATATGTGATAAATGGACAGATTTGGAAAAGACTGGAAAGGAAGAGGGTTTTATTTTGTTTTGTGGGGGTGGGGCAGCCGCATGCTTGGTTTTGGACATGTTGAGTCAGAGGCTGAAGTGAAATGTCCTGGAAATATCTAGAAACAGGTAATGAGAGACAGAGATTTCAAGGTCTTCAACATTTAGGGAACAGCTGAAGACATGAGAGTAGGTACGTTCTGCGAGAGAGAGAATGTAGAAAAAGGAAAAAGAGCAGAGTTTAGAGCCTTATAGAATACCAACAGTCATCAGGAAATGGAGGAAATGACAAGAAGAACAGCAGAGGAGCGATTACAGGTAGGAAAAAAAAAAAATCAAGAGAGCCCAGTGTCCCAGAAGTCCACAAAGAAGGAAGGAGTTTTATGAAGGAAGGGGTCATCAACAATACTGAATGCTTCAGATTTAAGAAGAGTAAGAAGTGAGAAAACACTGCCAGAAACAAGTGTCTTAATGGCTAGGTCTTGAAGAAAATGTGTTAAGTCAACAAGCAACATTTATCAAGTCCCTACTCTTGCCAGGCCCTGTGCTAAGTGCTGAGGATACAAAGAAGGGGGGGGGGAATCAATCAATCAAACAAACAAAACCCCAAAACAACAAAAACTCTAGTCCCTGCTCTCAAAGAACTCACAGTCTAATGAGGCAGACAATATGCAAACAACTGTGAACAAATGATATCTACAGGAAGGAAGAGGAAGAGGGCTAAGGAGGATCAGGAAAGCCTTCCTGTAGAAGGTGGGAATTTAGCTGGGTCTTGAGATAAGCCATAGAGGACAGGTGGCATAAATGAAAAGAGAGTGTTCTAGGCATGGGGAACAGCCAGTGGAAATCCACTTTTTGCATCCTATTAGAAGAAAGGCAAGGAGGACAGAGCCACTGGATCACAGAGTACGTGGAGGAGAGTAAAGAAGACTAAATAGGCAGGAAGGGGACAGGTTGAGAAGGGCTTTAAAAGCCAAAGAGAGGGTATCATATTTGATCCTGGAGGTGATATGGAACCACTGCAGTTTACTGAATGGAGGGATCACGATCAGGAAGATCCACACTTTAGGAAGATCACTTTGACAGCTGAGTGAAGGAGGGACTCCTCCTTCCGAGTGGGGAGAGACTTGGGGAAGGGAGGTTATTGCAACAGTCCAGGAATGAAGCTTGCACCAGAGTGGTGAGAGGCTCAGAGGAAAGAAGGGGGCAGAGATGAGATGTGAAGAAATGCAGACATCCCTACTGTAGCTGTATTTCTTCTAATGGGATTTAACTCACATTATCCCTAAATCCTTTTTCGGAAGATGGAGAAATATAGAGCAATAATCAGAAATGGGGAGGACAGAGAGGAGAAACTATAATGATGAAAGGTACTCTATCTAGTCGAATCTTAGGACTTTAGATAATATAAAAATCACAGAATCATTGGGTAGCCTATGTTTACATAATGTTTAAGGATAAAATCAAAACAGGAGTGGAGAATGAGCAAATGTTCTTATCTATCACAGTGTCCTAATGATCCAACAATATCTTCACAAAAACTTACCAAAGACTCTGGCTACAAATCCTAATGGAAACTGTGATGCAAACATGGTGAGAAACCAGGGGGCAGCGTAGAGACTGGGGCCGATCTCATGTTCTTCCAGGTGACTGTAGAGGTCTCTGTGGTAATCATGAAGGAGTCTGGAGAGCTGGTACATCTGGATCTGTGGGAATGTATATATTTGAATATATGTGTAGCTCCCATATGTGCGTATTTATGAATTTACAAACATGTTTCACTTATTTGGTGGAAAAAAGATTATTTTATAATTAAATGCTTAATTTGCAATCATTGCAACATCAAAAGTTCAATTTGGACTGCAGAATTTATACTCTGACCTCATGAATGAATGGTATCCACACTTCCATTTCCCTGTGATTCCCCTATATCACTAGACTAAGAAAACATATCATCTCTCTGCCTGTCATAGGCATATTCTAAATAAGACTGCCCTTACATAGTTTTATGTATCATCATTAACCTATTACAACCAATCACCTCATTGCTGCCCTATAAGCAGCACTGATGTACTGGCTAGAGGGCTGGCTTCAGAGAGGGAAATATATGGGTTCGAGTCTTATCTCTAATGCATACTAAGTGTGGTAGCAAGTCAGTGAGCTTCTCTCAGAGCTCCAGGCATATTATCCTCAGATTATATATAGATATTTAAAAATATACATAGTTAACATTTGTATAGCACTTGCTATATATTATATGTCAAATACGATACATAGTAAGTATTACTAGGCACTGTCCTAAGCGCTTTACAATTATTATCCCATTTGATCCTCACAACAACCCTGGGAGGTAGGTGCTATTATTATCTTCATTTTACAGGTGAGGAAACTGAGGCAAACAGAGGTCAGTGACTTGCCCTGGATCACACAACTATTAAGTGTCTGAAGTTAGATTTGAACTCAGGTCCCCGACTTCAGGCTTGGTGCTCTATCCCAACTGCCTACAATTTCCAGACAAGTTGGTAATCTGCATTGGGAGTTGACACTGGGAGTTCCCTATGTGAATGCAATCATAAGTCTACGCTAAATACTACCCTAGACAAAAAACAAAAATAACCAAAAAGACCTAAAAGCTGTAGTATCCCAACCATTAAGATGGCTAAGACAATCCCAAATGTTTTTATGAGCCTAATTGCCACCTCTAACCTTTTTTTTTTTTTTTTTAAGAGCAGCTAGGTGGGGCAGCAGATAGAACACCAGACCTGGAGGTAGGGAGACCTGTCAAATCCAGCCTCAGACACTTACTAGCTATGTGACCCTAGGCAAGTCACTTAATCCTGTTTGCCTCAGTTTCCTTATCTGTAAACTAAGCTAGAGAAAGAAATAGCAATCCACTCCAGTCTCTTTGCCAAGAAAATCCCAAATGGGGTCACAAAGAGTTGGATACAACTGAACAACAACTTTTTTAATAATGTGTAACTTTTTAAAATAATGTGTATCTGTGAAATCAAGTAATGATATGGGGCATGATAGCCTGTAGGAACACATGCAGAGCTCTCCTAAAACACTCATTTCTACAATGAGGCCTAGCATTATCTCAAACTTCTCTCAACTCACTCTTGTAACTGCAGCACAGGAGGTCCACTGTACTTTTTCACTAAAATTAAATTATTTGGGGATATATTACCTCTCTCAGGAAATCCATTTTGGTTTCTCTTAGATCTGAACCAAGAGGACTACTGCTTATTTTCTTAGTAATCTTATAGAATAATCAAGTATTGTATAATCTGCTAAGAAAACCATGACCCAGAATAGTCCTAAAGTTCTGACTCCAAATCCAGATACCTGGGGTCCCTGAGTCGGGCCTAGGAATGAACCAGGGCTAGGCGAGACTGGACCATACAGGGCTATTTCTCACTGGGTGCTACCCTTAATCTAGATGAATACTCCTAGAACCAACAGGTAGAGAAGCCCTAGAGAGGGCTGACAGAGGTTACGAAGTAACATAAAACTTTCTGAGGCAGTCACTTCACTTTAGCATTTCCATATAATAAGTGTTTAAAATGAACAAAAAGAATGGTCAATGCTACAAGGCTAATGTAATATAATAAATAACCTACATATATTTCATAAACTTTGCTTCAATGTCATAAAATTGGCTGCATGGCTGCTAAAAGCTCATATTTCTGGTCTTAAAATGGTAACATTAATGATAATGTGGGGAGAAAAGAAGAATCTGAAACTACTTGTGGAAAGTGTTAGTTGGGCCAAAAGTTTCTTGGTAGATGAAAGCAAGTCTTTTTATGAGATTCTTATTCACTGGGTTCAGAGCTAAAGTTGAGAGAATTTTTAATGGTTTAAGTCTGATGCCCTGAAAATTTCTGGCTCTAGCTTATCCTTCCCAAGATCTTACTTAGTAACTTGTTTGTACACTGCAAGAGAAAAGTCAAAGTTGCACCACATCTTCCCAAACAGTTTTTATTTTAGATACATTTCAGCTTCCCTAAATTGTCAATTCATTTGCCTTACATGGAAGAAGATTCATTTTCTTTTTTAAAAAAATAGGATTATTAAACTATAAATGAAGAGAATGTTGTGGACATGGTTTACTCAGATACTTGCAAAGCTTTTGATAAGGTATCTCCTGCTATTTTTGCAGAGAAGATGGAGAATTGTGGATTAGATTATAATGCAACCAGATGGATTCCAAATTGGGTGAATGGCTGAACTCAGAAAATAGAAATTAACGCTTCAATCTCAATGGCAGGAGGTCCCTGATGGAGCACAACTGTGCAGTTGAACATTTTTGTCAGTGACTTGGAGAGAGTCATCATTGGCACGTTCACCCAATTTACAGGTGACGCAAAGCTGGGAAGGATCACTAACACTGTCAAAGATGGGGTTCAATTCCAAAAGGACCTCGATAGGCTAGAGCACTGGGCTGAAATCTATTAAGATGCAATTCAACAGGGATAAATGTAAAGTATTGTGCAGGAAGTGGCATGAACAGACAGTAGTTTTCAGAAAAAAAAAATTAGAGGGTTTTAGCACACTGCAAGCTCGAGTCAGTAGTGTGATGTGGCAGCCAAAATGCCCACTGTGACCTGAGGGGTACAGCAGTGAGAGTCTCACTGTGCTTTGCCCTTGTTTGAATTCATCAGGAGTGTTACACTCAGGTCTAGCCATCATGACTTAAGGACGCTGAAGAGCTGAACAATGTCCAAAGGAGGTCAACTGGGATGGTGAGGGTCTGGAGCCTATGTCATATGAGACTCAGTGACAGAACTGGGCACATGCAGCCTGGAGAAGACTCAAAGGGAACATGACAGGTATCTTCAAGAATTTGAAGGACAGTCATATGGAGCAGGGACCAACCTTGTTCTTTTCAGAGCTAGCGGAAAGATTGAGGAGCAATAGATAGAAATTGTAGAGGTCAGTTTTAGGCCCAATGTCAAGAAAAACTTCCTAACAACTAGAGCGGGTCAAAAGCGGAAAAGACCCCCTAGAGGGGTGGGAGCTTCCCCCTCCTTGGAGGTCTTCAAGCAGAGGCTGAATGACTGACCACTCATTGGGTATGGTACACGGGCAACTGCTTTCATAAATGGGTTTGCTGAGGTCTCTTCAATTCTGTGATTCTGACTGTACATCAAATATAGTTATCCTTTTTCTCTGAACTCCTACGATACTTGGTGTCTCTCTCTTTCATGTGTCTCTTGTAACAGTACTCCCTGTACTGATATTTATCTAGGTGGTTAGTTAGCATAATGTACGGAGAGCTGGACTCAGAGTCAGGAAGAGCTGAGATCGAATCTTGCCTCACAGAAGTATTAACTGTGACCCTGGCCAAGCCACCCAGCTTCTCTCAAGCCTCAGTTTCCTCATCTGTAAAATAGGGATAAAAATAATAATAATAATAATACCCAATTCAGAGGGTTGTTGTGAGGATCAAATGAGATAATGTATGTTAAGTGCCTCGCAAACCTTAAAGTGCTATATTAATGCTAGCCATTATTAATATTCTTATTATCTAAATATCCTATCACCCCATATAGAGAGTTAATATCTTGAAAAGTAGGGACAATGCCATATGTTGTTATCTCTCTCTATATGCTCATGTAATAGGGGAGATTCAACTAATATTTATCAAATATGACGAAAGTTCATTATTAATAACAATGTTTTTAATTAATGCTTTTTAAAATTAATAGCACTTTCCACATTACATCCCCAAAAAGCAGGCAGCAAATGCAGATAAGCAGGCATTTGGACAGCTTCCCTTTATAAGATAGGTAAAAGAGACATATAAAATACCTGTAAAATAATCATGTCTGGTCGGTACTGTTTCCGGAGTCCCATGTCGAACATTAAAAATTTCAACATTTTAAATGCATCCTCTTCACTCATATGAAGAAGCAAAACACCTGCCACAAAGCTCAGACCCTGGCAATATCCAACTTCTTGGTCTAGGAGTGAATAGGCCTTCAGAATATTATAGAGTGACAGCTGTCCGGCTCCCAGCTGCGCCGAAAAGTATGGATGTGTTGGGAACGTACGTCCTGTAGAAACAAACTCTATCAGTCATGACTCACAGAACCCAGAAATTTACTATCTTACCAAGTTAGGAAAATAGAAGCTTTTGGAACTTTTGTCATCTTTTAACACCATTTGTGCTTAAGAAACAAGGCAAACATCTGTGTATCCTGTTGGTACTGAGGCACATGTTTTCTTTTGTTTTAACCAAATAAAAATCAGTTGTTTTCACTACTTGTTGTGTTTTTAAATTTGTTACTCAGGTTAAAATAATTAAAACTATCTCTGGCAGGTTATCTCAACCTAAATCTAAAACAAAGACCTTCCTTTCCCTCCATGGTAACCACTCCTTCCTTTAGGCATTAATCTTTATAACAATCTTTAACCCAAACAAAGTTAACTTTATTAGCTTCACCTAGAAGGCTAACACAGAGATCTAATCAGTTTTTTTTACCAGAATGGATCCATATTTTGGACTCTGCTTTCAAGTTCCCACAACAACTACAACAAAAAGTGCTACTTTTTCCTCCACAAAAGGGTTCTGAAATGCCTTGAACAGCAGCAGGTATTTTCTTCTAAACAAAACACACACAGTTTTGAAAGAACGAAAAAATGTCCAGATACCCTGATTATTTTTCAGCCAATGCCAGTATTCAAATGAAGATTAAATATTTCTTTTGTCTCAAAGTCTTTTGTAGTGGCCTGCTTGTTAAATGACCCCACCCTTTCCCTCTAGGAATGTGGCTCTAAGGCTCATGAGTATCTGTTTCCAGATACCATAAGAGGGCTTGTTCTAGAAAACAGATGCTGAGAGCCAACTTCACTGGTAGTGCTTAATCCAGGGAAACAAGTTTGAATTAGAGATTTGATTTCCTGCTTCCTAGATTCGTAGAGGCTGGGGGGCAAGTCTATTCTAGGCCAACTTTCGTCTCTGGACGGCTGACATGAACAGTTTACTTCTGTTACTTACAAGGATGAAAGGAATTACAACTGGTTTAAGATAACATTTAACCAACCCAGACTGATTTATTTATATTTAAATTAACATGATTACAGTTGTCTCTAAACCAGTTTCCATGCCTCAGGTCCAACTCATCTCAGTCCTCTTCTTTTAGAGACTCTTTCTAATTAGCCAAGTCTCATCAGTGGATAACTCTCCTCCCCATCCCACCACCATCCTCTTCCCCTAAGGAATCTAGTCTGCTCAGGTCCCTGCCTCAGTTCTTTCCCACTATCCAAAGAGACTCAGTCGAACCAGGGATTCCTGCTTTCCTGGGAATACAAAGGTAGGACGTGACAATCCCAAAGGACCCACCAAATACACATTTCATACAACAAGATAATCAGGAAAAGGATCTCAGATATTGAAGGAGAAGATTCACCCAGTTCACAAGATCTTTGAGTCTCAAGGCAGCAGAATCCCACAGAATTCCCAAGAGTGTCTACAAGTTCTTGTCTTAGTTTAGACAAGTAGCTACATCAGACACTAGAGGCATCTCTCCTCAGAGTTAACCATTCTGTAGCAGATAATGAGAGCACAGCCTATCCATGTTGACTAATAAATTATTCTTATTCTGTTATATCCTTGAGCGCATTTGCTTTTTCAGTCTACCCAAGTTTTTATTAGCTGGATCCACTAAGTATGATCGGATGGCAGGCATGGCTTTCACTGAGTACAAATAACAATAACCATTACAGTTAGCATTTATATAGCACTTTAAGGTGAACAAAGCCCTTTACAACATGTCATCTCATTTGAACTTCAAGGACATCCCTGGGTGGAAGGTGCTATTATCATTTCCATTTTACAGGTAAGGTAACTGCGAATGAGAGAAATTAGGTGAGTTGGCCAGGGTCATACAGCTAGTAAGTGTCCAAACAGCACTTGAACTCAGGTTTGAGTCTCTATGTAACACTCAATCCCACCGTGCCAGCTAGCTGTCCCTATATGTGGCTTACCTGCTCTGTCAGGCTTCTATGTCCCCAAGCTTAAGGACCTTTCCCTAATGTCATTCTTTTCATCACTTATACCCTGTCCCCCAACTGGTCTACAAACCAGCTGCGCCATTTTCTAAAATGTCATTTTGCACATGTCTTCTTTTTGGAAACTTTCTTGCTTGAAAACCATCACTGGCTTTCCTCTGCCTACAGAGAATCTTCCTTCTCATTTGGCTCTTAGACAAACTGGATTATTCACTGTCCCCCTACCATGAACATTTCACAGTATTACAACTTACTCTGTACTGTTCCCTTAGCTTGGAATGCTGTTGTTGCTTACCCAAGGCCTGCTCTTCCTTCAAGGCCTGATTCAATTTCTAAATCCATCTCCAAAGCTGTCTCCAATTACCTTGTCTCCCTGACGATCCCTCCCTGCCTCCTCTGAACCACAGCTGAATTTAATGCCTATAATAGGCCACTAATTATCAACAAAGAGTTGATATACACTCCTTGGCATTACTCTCATTTATGTGTTTGTTTTTATTTTATCTTTTTCTTAATGTTCATGGCTGGTGTCCAACTAGACCAGAAGCTCCTTATGGGCAGGCATTACTATACTTCTGTATCTTTAGTACCTAGTTCACTGCCCTTCAAGTAGTCACTCAAACATTTGTTAATAATGATGACAATGACAACTTTCATTTCCATTAAGGGCACTGTCCAATTTCCAAGCAGTCTAAAATGACTCTGACACCTCTTTCGCTTGTTTGGAGTGTGCTGAGGCAAAGATCGTAAGACAGTAGGCACAATGTTTGGAAATACTCAGGACGGATCTGCTACCAGTTCAACAGAAGACTTGGGAATAAATCATAAGGAAATGTGACATCTGGAAACATCAACACACACAATAAACCTTCCCTCTCTAACTGTAATTGTGACAAATGAGTGTGAATAAGGGGAAAATATAACTTATGGAATCAGGACTGGACCTGGACTTATGACTTGAATGGTACAGGGAAATGCAAGCTGGCACCTTTTCTGCTAATGATGGAATATTAAAAAATGATTTTAATGAAATGACCCATCTTGGGTACACACAGCCAATAACAAAACACTGAAAAGCTCCTCCTCCTGATAGATGTGGTTGGCGATACCTCAGTACAGAATGCTGCATATGGTTTCAGACACAGCTGCTGTTTCAATTGCTTTAATAACTTTTCATGGTTGTTAGAAAGTAAGATTCGAGGGGCAGCTAGGTGGTGCGGTGGATAGAATACTGGCCCTGAAGTCAGGAGGATCTGAGTTCAAATCCGGCCTCAGACCAAATACCTGACACTAGCTGTGTGACCCTGGGCAAGTCACTTAACCCCAATTGCCAAAAAAAAAAAGAAAAAAAAAAGAAAGTAAGATTCTAGGTAGGGGAGGATAGATGATGGGAAATGACCATGGTATTAAAAAATATACATTTTCAAGGATACATTAGATTTAGGCTGAAAGTGTTGCTCAGTATAATCCGTAGAAAACTTGCTTTAATGAACAGATAAAGATGGTCTACAATTAGCAGTCCACAGTGTTCATGTAAATTGGGCACATGGGATCATAGGTCCAGAGCCAAAAGGCACTGCATAGGCCATTTAGTCTAACTCCTCCAACTTAGAGAAGATAATCAGAGGCCCAGCTAGGTGGCACAGCAGACAGCGCACCGGGCTTGGAGGAAGAAGACCTGAGTTCAAATCTGGCCTCAGACACTCATGAGCTGTGTGACCCAGGACAAGTCACTTAACCTCTGCCTTAGTTAACTATAAAATAAGGAAAATAATAGCACCTCACCTCCTTCCCCCCAGGTTGTTGTGAGGATCAAATAAGATATCTGTAAAGCACTTAGTACAGTGCCTGGAATATATAATAGGTGTTTAATTAATGCTTGTTTTTTACTTAAAAGCTATTCAATAAGCATTTTTTAAAGCACTTAATATGTAGAAGGCATTGTTAAGTGACTTGCCCAAGGTTACACAGGGAGTAAGTGGTTGAGATGGGATATGAATTCCGATTCTTTGATTCTGGAGCGATTGAGTGCCCTCTGTCACTCCACCACATGTACTGGAGATAGTTTGAGAAGATTTTGTCAACGTAAGTGTAATACTGTAAATATTCCCTGTAATACCATAAATGTGTAATACTGTAAATATTTGTGATATATAGTTAATATTTATGTTATCACAATCCTTTAATATACAATTCAAGTGTCACCTTCCCAAGAATCCTTCCCTGATCCCCAAGGTCTAAGAATTCCTGTTGTACTTTCTTTTTCTCCTTTCTAACACACTCATGGTGCCATACTATGTATAATTATCTGCTTGTATTTTATCCCCATATTAGACTATAAGCTCCACTAGACAAGGACTGCATCTTATTTAAATTGTTTATCTTCTACAGCATAAGGCTCTACATACAGCGGTGTGAATGAATTACAGAATTTTAGACACACAAAAAAGTAATCTAACTCATTAACATTACAGATGAAGAATATGTTCCAGAAAGTTTAACTTTCCCAAAGTAAATCAATAACAAAAACACAACCAAAACTCAAACAGTTTGGGTCTCAACCCAATGTGCTTTCTATTAGAAGTAATGTAGAAAAACATATTATCCCAGAATCTATTCTGATTATTACAAATCCCAAATTAATAGAATCAAAATAATGAGACTAATTTTAAAAGAATATTCCTAATACTCTATTCATTTTAACTTTTTAACTATTACAACTAAAAAACAAAAAAGTTGGGAAAAGTGTTGTAATATTTTACAGATGTTACCATGGATCCAACAGTAAACACATTTAAGCTTTTATTACTTAACTAAAATGAAAACTTCCCCTTTTCAATTCTATTTTTAAAAAATATCAAATTTTCTTTTCAACATCAAGCCCCAGGCAGTTTGCATCTACTCAAAGCCAAGTTTTCAGAGAATGGTTTCACCTATGCCTATTGAGATATTTTCTTTTTCTGTCAACTTCCAATGCTAAATCAGTCAGCAGATAAGGAATGGAGGCTCTCTGAAGCAGTTCATTTCCTGAGCCAGAATTCTC